CGGGACGCAAGTCCCAGTGACAGGCCTGGGATGCCACCAGCCTGGCGGGGGCGGGCCAGCAGCCACCGGGCCAATCCCAGGCCAGACCAGGCAGCCGGTCCCACCCCCGCCCTGGAGAGCGCCTGGGAAGGCACGAGGTCCCCACCAGAGCAGGGTTTACCCTGGTCCGTGGCCTTGGAACCCAGCCCTGGGGCTGAGGCAGCAGGAAGGTGGGCGCCCTGCTCTGACTTAGGCCCCTGCGGGCAGCGCTGACTCTGTGACACCTGGGGCCAGACGCTCGCGGTGAGGTTCATGTGCTTTTCCCTCCCCCATCTGGGACAAGGCGCCCGCAGCCACAGCCCGGCACACACCTGGTCCTTGCTCCTCGGTCCGACAGCCAGAAAGATGCTTCCAACAGCGGGCAGAGCGAGGCCGGCTGCCAAGGGGCACGAGGGCAGACAGGCCACCCCCTCGCCCCACCTGTCTGCGAGGCCTGAGGCCCCGGCCCAGGCAGCCACTGTTGTGCTCAGGGGTCTCAGCTACACAGCACCCCCAGCGAGCCTGAGCTACCCCTGCGGTGGCCCGAGGACCCTCTAAGCAATCGGGCACCACCTTGGAAAGGTCCGGAGGTGGGAGCAGGGGGGCTGCTGTCTCTCCTCTCTCTCTTGCATGTCTCTTGACTACACCGCAAACCAAATCTGGCAGATGCCTGTTTCCGAACAAGGTTGCCACCCAAGTCACCCCTCCCATCTGGACCAGCAGGTGTAGCCTGGCTGCTCCCTCCTGGAGCTGGCTCTTCCCCAGAACTCGGCTCCCAGACACCCGCCACTGGGCCATGAGGCTGCAACCAGGGCACGTGGCAGTGATGTCTGCACGTCTCCCCATGTGCCCTGGGCACCTCCCCTGGCCCGCTCCCCCAAGAATGCTCTCTGACCCGGGCTCCACTCCCCTTCCTTCTTGCCCTAGACGACCCGCGGTAGAGACCACCAGGTCCTACCTCTGAACTTAGCCAAGGTGTGTTTTGGGGTGGACACTGCTCTCTGCATGCTGGGGCAGGTGGCAGCACAGCTGGGCCAGTGGGCAGGGTCCTTGTGGGAGAGCTACACGAGGGGCTGGTGCAGTCGGCCACTCCTGTGACGCGGGAGCTCTTACAGAAACGTATTGTGAGCAAGAACCAAGTTCGCCCTCACGCCAGGCCCTGGGTCGTTGGCATGTCCTCAGTCACCCTCACCTGACCTCCGGCCTTGCCTAGTACTCTCCCATGTGAATAGCATCCTGCCTCCCAAGGCAGCGGCAAGCTTCACAAAGGTCCGACAGCCCAGGTCACTTCCAGCACAATGATCTGGTGACCTGTCTTCTGGACTGTTCTGGCCAGAGACTAAAGACTCAGGGTCAGCACGTGACCTTCTCGAGCCTGCTCCCATGCTCAGCTGTCTTCTCCCCACGCCTTCCCTGCTGAGCCAGATGTGAGACCCACAGTGGGCCCGTCTCATCTTGCCGCACCGCTCATGGCGACCCAACGACAGAGGCCGGTCTACGACACCCTCACCTGGCACTCCCCTGATGCCCTTCGCCCGCGAGGGGACGTGGGATGGAGAAGACACCTAAAGCAGGTCTTGGGGCCAGGCACTGCAGAGCTCAGCGCCGTGCACCCGCTGCAGCTTCAGCCCTGAGCACAACACACCGTGCGCCAGGGCAGCAGGGCGCCCGGCCTCAGGACTGAGGTCCAGCCAGGAGCAGACACATGGTTTCCTTGGGCCGAGGGGAGAGACTGGGGAGCCCTGCCTGGGAGGAGGTGCTGCTCAGACGCTCCAGCACCTGCACCCTCTCTGAGCTCCAGACAGTAGCCAGCTCCCTTGACCCAGACCCACGTGACAAAGGCCATAGCACCCGCTGTAGGCGCTAGTCGCCAGAATAAAAGTGAGTCAAGCGTGAGACACTGCGGTGCGACAGCCACTGACTTGAGGCCACTCGGGTTGTGGGACAAGGACATCATTTTTTTTTTTTTTCATAAAAAGAGTACTTTAATTCTTTTCCTCAGAAATTATAAAGACTATACATGATTTGGAAATGAGACTGTACCAAGCAACGGCCAAAGGAGAATCTCCCATTCTGCACCTTCTCTCCGGTCTGGGCACTCAGGAACAGTGTAATC